CTGAGTGTGTTATTTTGGTTTCGGTGTCTTAAACCGAGAAGAAAGGATGCTAGGTGAATGGCTTTTATAAGCAAGGAGTGACGTCACGGGTGGGACCTTACGCGTATGGGTAAATAAATGGAAAATTCGTTGGACCTTATATGGGCATTTTGGACAATTCTGTTATTCCATAAAGGAATATTCTTTTTAAAAATTTATAGTATTCCATTAAGAAAAAACCTCTTTATACTTGAAAGTGGCTCATCATATTAGACTCACTCATCAAATTATAAAAAAATTAAATTAATTCAATAAAAAAAAAAATATTTAATGCTGATTCGTAGTACCATCTTAGCCGTCTGCCAGTCTCTTCCGTATTACATGAATAGTGATTAATATCAAATTTATTTGATTGATGGGAATAAGATATTATTTTAAATATAAATATGCCAAGTCTGCCCCAGTCTGCCCTTGTAGGCCATTTAATTTCATCAATTGTATATACCAGTGACTCGAATTTGCTTAACATAAATTGTGGGTCAAGTCAAATATACTCTTTTCAACTGTTAGAAAAAAACATATGTGGTATATTCGAAGATCTTTGTATGATACTTTTGATGAATTAGCGTAGATCGGGAAAACGTACTATTTCACTTCCAAACTTTTCATATTTTCGTAAAAACACCCGGATAATTAATCGCGTAATATTTCTCCCAATATAAACTTTACACTATTATTTCATCCCAGTTCTGGATTTCATCAGTTGACAATAAAACCGGATCGTAAACCGGATCCACCGGTTAATAAACCCGAAATCAAAACCCGAGAGTTATGAAGACCCAAAACCCGTAGTGTACCCAATTTCTTTTATCGCAAAATCAAAAATCCCCAATTCAAAGAAGAAGAACCCTAATTCTGGGTTTGGCGAAATTGAAGCTCAGAATCGAGAGTAAGTCGTCGTAGTGTTTATATACTGTAGTTTCGTAGTTTTTGGTGTTTAATTTGAAGTGTAGATCGGTAATTTTGGGTTTGAATCAAAAAATTTGAAATCGAAACTTTTTTTTTGTTGTTGTAGCTTTTGATCCGACAGTGGAATCATG